CGGTGTCCCCCAATTTCCTCAACGTTTTGCGTTAAATCCTGAGATTCTTAAGGGAAGAATATCTTCCTTTCTGAGTATGGGAATATGGCTTTCTAATAATATCTTAATCCCCCGACCCCCGCCAGCTCGGGAAGATAGGCAGGATTCGTTTGATCTGGAAATGAGAGGGAAGACGGGAAGTAGAATAACCATGAAAATATCAAGGAGGGAATGAAGAAATTTGATTAAGAAATTTAAATTAAAAATAAAAACCAAAAAAACAAAATAGAAGAGAAGAAAAACAAAACGCGAGGGGTGTTGGAGTAGGGGCAGAGCAAAGGTGCTTGGTGTGAGCAGGCGCTGATTGTCCAAGAGAAGAGATGCAAACGTTCTTTGTTCCGATATGCCTTGTCAGGGGCGCACACAAGTCATCCTTATAGCGAAAAAATATTAGCACATTGAGAAAGAATAAATGAAAAGGAAGAAGAAGAAGGAAAAAGAGAATCCATCAAAACCTCCCCATCCTGTTTATCCTTCCTGGGGTATAAAAACCCCAAACCAAACCAACACAAAACAGCATAATCTGTAACCTTTCCAGTTGCTACTCGCTCTTCCCCTGGCTCTCTACTCTTCTCTCCCTCCCAAACAAACAATGAATTAGAGATGATGGTGGCCCCTGCCCGCTGTAATGCGGCGACACGGAACAAACCGGGAGGGACCGGGCAGGGGAGGGAAGTGAGGAGCTTCAGGGATGGACACCCAGGGCAGTGCGGGACTACTCCCCTCCGACAGGGCCAAAATCTCCTCCCCGCTTTTCTTCTTCGTCTTCCTCCTCTTCTTGTCTAATGAAGGATTGATCGAGACATATGAGTAATGTCTGATGCTACTTAGCCCTGGAAAAAAAGAGTTCAGGCTCTGAACTCCAAAGAATTTTGCATGGGATTTTGGTTCTGAGAAATGCCCCTGTTTGTCCTAAATCCAGCCACAAGGGAGGGGGTTGGGCGAGGGGACATCTGTTTAATTTGAAGCAATAAATACGCCGGATCTGTGGCTGTTTGGGTGTTTCCATTTTTAAAGATGATTAATCCCACCTCCACCCCCCCTTTCCAATTCGACTGTAAAGAAATGGATTAGGAATGGTATCAAGAAGGATTATTCATTTATATCAGGCAGATGGAGCTGTACAGTAGGGTTTCAAAGAAACAAAGAAAATGGTTTCTAAATGGTTGTTTGGCATGAATTATTTGGTGGATTTGCAAACAAGCAAGGAGAAGCACTGTACAGCAAGATGTAGAGGAAACCCATCTGGCACCTTTCCCATCCTTGTCTGGGGCTGGAGGGGTTTCCAGACAGGTAGCGGAGGAGTCGCTGAGCAGACCTGGCCCGAAGGGAGCAGGCCAGGGAGCGAGAGGCTGCTCTTCCCTCCGCCTGCCCGAGCTGCCCGCGGCTCGGCTGGCCTGGGCATTGTTGGCCTTCGCTGCACCTGCGGGGCACAGACGGACCCCTGCGGGCTCTGGGGCACCACGACACAAGAACCCGGTGGGGTCCTGCGTGCCCTCCCCGCTTCCCCACCCAGCTCTCCTCCGCCTCCCCACCTGGCCCTCCCGGCTCAGCCGGCCTCAGAGCTCAGGGCTGAGGCAGGAGGGGGGGAAAGGGACGAGGGCAAACAATAAAGAAGCAACAAACTTTCGGAAGTGTTTTCGTGGCGATCCGCCCCTCCGCGCATTTCTGTTTCTCTCGGAATTTTTCAGTCAGCCCCGCGCTGAAATCTCCGGCCATTTCAAACAGTTAAAAATGTGATTGACACTTATGTTAATAGTTTGTTTTTGTGCAAAGCGGATCTGCAAATTTCCAACACAAACACACTGTGTAGATCAGATGTTGGGTATAAAAATGGTTTATTGATTGAAATAATAGAAGCATTATTTTGATTTGTCCTGACATGCTGACTGATTTATAGATTCCTACCCCATTGATTTCTTCTTGTCCGGGCAGAAGAAAATGATCAAATCTCATGAAAATGCCCTCTTGTACTAATTAAGAAGCTGAGGTGCATTTCTTTCTTTCTTTCTTTCTTTCTTTCTTTCTTTCTTTCTTTCTTTCTTTCTTTCTTTCTTTCTTTCTTTCTTTCTTTCTTTCTTTCTTTCTTTCTTT